GGAGTGGGGTCTGTGCATCAGAATGGGACCAAATCCCACATCTGGAGTGGGGTCTGTGCATTGGAGTGGGACCAAATCCCACATCTGGAGTGGGGTCTGTGCATTGGAGTGGGACCAAATCCCACATCTGGAGTGGGGTCTGTGCATTGGAGTGGGACCAAATCCCACATCTGGAGTGGGGTCTGTGCACTGGAATGGGACCAAACCCCACATCTGGAGTGGGGTCTGTGCACTGGAATGGGACCAAATCCTACATCTGGAGTGGGGTCTGTGCACTGGAATGGGACCAAATCCTACATCTGGACTGGGGTGTGTGCACTGGAATGGGACCAAACCCCCCGGGATAATTCCTTTTGCAGGGCAGTGCCTGCTGTTTGCTGTGATCTGACACACCAGGATTCCAGAGTTTAAACCTGGAGTTTAAACCCCCCTCACCCACAGGTGTGTGTCCTGTGGAACCTCCACCGGGAGCAGAGGGAGGAGTTCAGTGCTCCTGGGATACATTTTCTACCACCTTAAAGTGCATTTCCACCAAAAGTGGAAATGTTTCTGGCAGGGAAAAAAAAAATCAACACCTTACTTCCCGTTTTTCCACGTGTTCCCTCTCACACACACAAACCACACCGTGCAGGAGACACACCAGCCCACACACACAGCTGAAGAGCAACAAAAAGAGCATCAGAAAGGGAGAAAAGGGATCTTTTCCCCATCCCAACGTCCCTCTGAACGGGGAAATCCCACCCTGGTGAGCTGGGGAAGTGCTGGGCCCTCTCAGCTCGTGGTGGTGCCACCAGTTCCCTGCTCAAACTGGGGCTGGTGCCTGTCTCAGATCAGCACCAAAAGGCAGTGACAACCATGCAAAAGGTGAATTTTGGCTATAAAATACGGAAAAGATGAAGAGGACACTCCCCACTGGTCTTTGTGGAGCTGTGGCCCACGGGTGGCACTGGGCTGCTCCCCAGGAGAAGGCTGAAAACAAGCCTGTTTTATTTCAGTAGGGGGGTTTTAGGGAGAGGTTGGAAAGCCACCCCCCCCATTCCTGCCATCATTGTGCCAAAGGGATTGGCTTCCTCCAGAGAATTCCTGCCCCAGAGGTCCCAGGTCCCACCCCACATTCCCAGCAGGGTTCCTCGTTCCCAAAGCCCTCTCCCTGGCCCAGAGGTGGCTGTACCCGTTCTTGGCAGTGATGTAGGACATGATGTTCTGGTTGAAGAACTTCAGGATCAGAGGGATGCAGTTGGCAAACACCAGGTGCTGGGACACGTACTCGAACTGGGGGGAGAGAGACAAGGGAAACTGGTCAGAACTGGGACAACTGGGAGCACCACCTGGGAATGGGGACGTTTCCAGCCAAGAGCAAAGCACTGCTGTTGGTTTGAGACACCTCCCAGACCATCTCCCCCCTGGCCTGTGCCGTGTCCAGCAGCTGGGAAGTCCCATTTGCCACAGGGTGGACACAGGAGCTTTGTGGCAGTGCTTTAGGAGCAGCTGCACCCAAAGCAAACGTGGCTTTCTGGAATTAAAGCTCTGGTAAAACGGCATCTGGGGAAGAGGGAAGGAGGAGATGCAGCTACTACAAGAGAAAACCCAATAATTCCTGCTGCTCTCTCACACTAATCCCACCTCCCTTTGAAATTTTGGACTGAAAAAATATCCTTGGCTTCATAAATGCTTTCAATTTTTCTCCCCCTCAAAGCATTAAATGGTCAAGGTCCCTTCCAGCCCAAACCATTCCATGACTGACTCTGTGATTTTCATGGCGCTCCCTGAGACCTTTTGGCACCAAAAACTGGTGATGCCTCACCCAAAAATCACACCCAGAGGCAGGACCAGGGGCACAAAACCCCCCCAGCTTCCTCCAGGCTCAGCCCCAGGGTCCTCCTGCCTCAGAGGAAGAAAAGAGAGGAGCTGCTCTGGAGTGAGGAAAATGAGTGAGGGCACGTGGGGAAACCCAGAACAAATGTGGGACTGTCAAAGTGTGGGGTTTGTTTCATTTTATCCAATCCAGTCTGTGCATTTATACTTATCCTATTGTTTCATTTTATCCAATCCAATCTATGGATTTATACTTATCCTATTGTTTCATTTTATGCAATCTAATCTGTGGCCTTATCCTACTGTTTCATTTTATCCAATGCAATCTATGGATTTATATTTTCCCTCAGATAAATGTCAGTGGGCAGTAAATATCAGTAAATAACACAGATGGACTCGTGCCACGCTGAAACCTTTAAGAGAAAGAAAATACTTAGAAATGCTTAGAAAGCAGTGATTGACTTGCAGGACAGGTGGAGAACTGGACCACAGCTCATGTCTGTCCTGCTTTTTTGTTTTAGACCAAGGAAAGCCCTGGAGTGGGTGCAGATGGCACAAAAAATCAGATTAAACCTCAGCCCCAGCTCTGCCTCTGCTGAAACTGGAGCCCCAAGAACGTGATCCTGCCAAGACCCAGATTAGTTGACCTCCTTGAGGTCCTTCCCAGCCTATTTCTGGTCCCTGGAGATGACACAGAGCAAAGGAAGGTCTTGCCTAACCCCCCTCCCCTTCCCCCTTCTGCCAGAGGGGCTCGTGCTCGGGCTCCGTCCTAAATTCTACCCTGAGCGGCCACAGCAGGAATTTTTCCAGAAGTCCTAAAGCTCCTTCCCCGTGAGTGGATGAACGATGCTGCCAAAACACAGCTGAGGAACATTTCAGGCAGGTTCTCCCAGCCTGGGATAAACCCTGACCTGGAGCTGGGATGAGCAGCACGGACACGTCACAGAAACCCCTCCAGCAAGTCTTTTGGGAGAGGGTTTATCAGGACACACCAACTCCAAGAGCAGCCTGGCAGTGGCCAACCCTGCTGTTGGCTCACCTGGTAGATGTGGTTGAGCTTCAAGTGCTTGAGGAGCAGCAGCAGCGAGGCCGAGATGCTCTTGACGATGATCTCCTTGTGCCTGTTGACGTCGATGCCCAGCTTCATGCTCTGCAGGACGGTGACACTGGCAGGGAGGGGATGGAACAGGGGGTGTGGGAATCAGAGAATCCCAGAATCAGCTGGGTTGGAAGGGACCTCCGAGATCATCCAGCCCAACCCTTGATCCAACCCCGCTGTGGTTCCCAGCCCATGGCACTGATGCCACATCCAGTCTGTCCTTAAACACCTC